ATATATGACCACTCATTCCATCAGAAAAAATATATATCTGGAGGAGTCTCCTTGGTCACGAGGTGTTTTTATTAAACTATGGCACAAGCTAACCCTGTTTAAGAAGGCTGGACTGTCTGTCTAAACTTTCTGTGTTTTGGTTTTATTAAATATTAAACTAGTGTAATAGCATATAGCATGTTTTAAAAGTAAAATCTTATTTGTTTTAAAGATTGAATTAATCATTTATAGTGTTAATAAGGTCCAATGAATTGTTTGCTTTATTATTATGTAATATCTCCTTTTCTCATAAAGGAGTCACGCCTGTATTTTAGAGTGCATATATATATATATATATATATATATGAACACACACTGACATATACAGATAAACACAAACATAGATGTAGAGACACATGCAGACATACAGACACACACAAACACAGACATGTACATAAAGTCACTGACACATAAACCCACACACATATCCACAGACAGACACATAGAGAGTACACACAAATAGCCACACAGACACTCTTACACACAGATATATATGCAAGCATTCACACACACATTCAGAGAGAGAGAGAGAGAGAGAGAGAGAGAGAGACAGACAGACAGACAGACAGACAGACAGACAGAGAAGAGATAGGCATATATACAAACTACACACACAGGGGCAGGCACATGAATACATAGACAAACATGCACATACAATGAACAACAATAGACCCACAGATACATACATGAACAAACACAGATACACACAAACTCAAACAAAACAAAATGCACATGACACACACAGAGGCACACACTACAAACACATGCTCACACATACAGAAATATTCACATACACAATTACTCTGTGTCTGTTTCTGTCTTTCTTCCTAATTTATAGATTGAACTTCTATTCTAAAACTAACATGTTTTACCAATCCTTCATCTGATAGAGGGCTAATATCCAATATATACAAAGAACTCAAGAAATTAGACTCCAGACAACCAAATTACCCTATTAAAAAATGGGGTATAGAGCTTAACAAAGAATTTTCAACGGAAGAAACTCGAATGGCCGAGAAGCATCTAAAGAAATGTTCAGCATCCTTAGTCGTCAGGGAAATGCAAATCAAAACAACCCTGAGATTCCATCTCACACCAGTCAGAATGGCTAAGATTAAAAACTCAGGTGATAGTAGATGCTGGCGAGGGTGTGGAGAAAGAGGAACACTCCTCCATTGTTGGTGGGACTGCAAGATGGTGCAACCACTTTGGAAATCAGTCTGGCGGTTCCTCAGAAAATTGGACATAGCATTACCCGAGGATCCAGCTATACCACTCCTAGGCATATACCCAGAAGATGCTCGAACATATAACAAGGACATATGCTCAACTATGTTCATAGCAGCCTTATTTATAATAGCCAGGAGCTGGAAAGAACCCAGATGTCCTTCAACTGAGGAATGGATTCAAAAAATGTGGTATATTTACACAATGGAGTATTACTCAGCTATTAAAAACAATGAATTCGAGAGGTTCCTAGGTAAATGGATGGAACTAGAAATTATCATCCTGAGTGAGGTAAGCCAATCACAAAAGAAGACACATGGTATTCACTCACTGATTATTGGATATTAGCCTAGAACCTTGAAATGCCCAAGATGCAACTCACAGGCCACATGAAGCCCATAAAGAAGGAAGACCAAGTGAGGGTGATTCGGTTCTTCTTAGAAGGAGCAACAAAATACTCAAGGGAGCAAATATGGAGACAAAGTGAGGGACAGAAACTGAAGGAGGGGCCGTCTCAAGACCACCCCACCTGAGTATCTATCCCATGTGCAATCACCAAAGGTAGATGCTGATGTGGAAGACAGGAAGTGCATGCTGATAAGAGCCTGATATGGATATCTCCTCAGAGGCCTTCAAGAGTCAGACATATTCAGAGGCAGATGCTCACAACTAGCCATTGAACTGATCATGGGGTTCTCAATAGAGGAGTTAGAGTGAAGACTGAAGGAGCTGAAAGGATTTACGGCACCATGAGGAGAGCAACAATACCAACCAACCACAGCTCCCAGGGTCTAAACCACCAGCCTGGGAGCACTTAGGGGGGAATCCAGGGCTTCAGCTGAATATGTAAAAGTGGAGGGCCCTGCTGGGCATAGGTGGAAGAAGAGAACCTTGACCTCATGAAGGCTGGATGCCCCAGGGGGTGGGAATTTTGAGGGTGGGGAGGTGGGAGTGGGGGGGGGTGTAGATAGAGGTTACATCCACAGAGAAGAAGGAGGAGGGGCGAGGGGATTGGAGGTTCCGAGGGGGTGGTGGGGGATGGGGTAAGGGGACAACATAGGAAATGTAAATAAATCATCCAATAAAAAAAAAAAAAAAAAACAGAAAAAGAAAAAAAAAAAAAAAAAAAACTAACATGTTACAATTTTTCTGTATTTATTCTATTTATCTACCTCTAACAACTCAGAATACCATGTTATGTAGCAATGAATTCCAGGTAAATAAGTAACAAACTTTTATCATGTGTCAATGCATAAACATCTGACATTCTAATCTCCAAAAGGAAGGCACAGATGAAATTTACAAGAAGAGGAATTCAATCATATATAACAAAGAAAACAATATTCTTCAAACAAATCACTTCTTCTATGTAATATGACTTGGAATGCAAGTGAATTCATCACTTTGATACATGTGCAAACATATCTGTCCATCAAAATCAGGGCACCAGCCTGAGACTGTTTGGCTTATTGCTTACTAAGTCTCCCCTCAAGTATATCTCTTGATGGAAATCATTTGAATCATTTTCTCAAACCACAAACTTGGAATTTATCTTTCTTACATCATTGTTTTCCATAGATTATTTATTCAAATCATTACCTCTATTTCTGTCTATTTCTCAAAATATTATTTTTGTAATTTTCTATATTATCCAAATCTTCTGATTTGTGTTGTTTAGATTGTATTATTGAATTATCAATGTTCTTGTTGCCAAATATATTTGTACTGAATGGAGATTATTTAAAAACACAAATGAAATAAAATAATTTTCATGATATTTGCAATATAGTTAAGGACCTCACTCAAGCAATTGGTTCAAATGAGAATGAAAAGAAACAAGGAAATACAGATCAGGAACGCAAATGTTATCAATGTAAAGTGCTTGGATAAGAATACAATAGCTACAAACTCTCAGTCATCTTCACCAAAATAGCTAGAAAATAGTAGGAAGCCAGCTGGAAAAAAAATGACTTCTTGCTCAACTAATGACTTCCTCCCATCACTCTTAGCTACTGGAAAATTGTTGATTTTTCCTTACTGTCCATGTTCCTAATTCTATAATCATTTTTCTTATGTTGAAAGTTATCAACAACAATGATAGTATGCCTGTGTCTACAAAACGGTTCTCAGAATTAACAAATAAGTAAGCAAGTTTTCTGGCTAAAGGGTCCACCTGCAGGAGCAGGTTTAATTATAACAGCAATTAATACTTGGAAGGCTAAATAAATAAAGACTTAAATCACAAAGGTGAGTAAGCTTCTACAAGACTGGCTCCCCACAAGCATACCAATTTATAGATATTCACACATCCAACTCCCTTCACAAGTGATATAAAAGCCACATTAAGAATAAATGCCTTAGTTTGCAATATAAGATACACTGAAAATAGCATGGAACAAACTCGCTACATCTATCCCCTTCCAAGTTTGAGAGGAATGTAGAGAAATGTCCTCTATGGAAGAGAATGGATTGAGACTGGGACTCATATTTGAGACACAACAATAGGCCTGCCATGATTAAGCCCAGCACCTTGGTGAGTACACTTATGCTTCCACAGACTCAACCACTAGAACTGAATACCTCCATTGTCCTTCCCCCAGCCTTGGACAACAGAGGGAAAAGCAAGACATCACCTAAAGCAAAGAATGAAAGCTCCCAAGGACTGTACTTTAGATTCAAAACCAGGCCTCCCTAAGGAGATGTTCCTACAAAGAGAAACCAAAACCTTTCATTCCTAGGTCAGAATTTTAGTTGGGTGCTCTAGCTGGTGAACCCTGAGGCTCACAGGAACATATATATTTTGGCTTGGACTATCATCATTGCTTTTGCTTAATGAACCTAGACCACTCTTTCTTTCCTAGAGATTATCCAGGTTGTTGTGGCTATTAAACTTTGGTGTAACCCAACTTAGCATTAGCCTAGGCAGCCAGCACAATCTGTTGTCTCTCCTCTAGTTTTGGACAGCACAGCTATTTTCATGTCAAGGAGGAAAACTGTCTCTAGAGTTATACCACACAACACTGAAACAGGGTGAGGTAAGACCCTATACTAATCTGAAACATTGCCAGTTGTGCAATGAGCCTGCATACACCCTGAAACTATAGGTATTTGTGATTGTGACATTCATGAGATTCTTGCAATCCAGGTTAGCAGTTGGGGACCAAAGGACTGCTATCAGCATTAGTACCAAACCTAAAAACTCCCATATGGAGTCAACTTCCTATGTACTTGATTATATTTTATTATTCATACAATTTAAACTTTATTTGATGCAAATAGTAAACTACTCTATGAATGAACTATGTGTTTCAATTAATAGGAAATAGTGCTTTCCTAACTTGCTCAAAATATCACTTTATAAATTAACCCATGAAATTATTTTAAAGGAATAAGCTTTCCTGGAGTACTTTTAGACTGTATAATGATCAAATTATAATTATCAAAGGCTTTTAAAGAATACAACTGTATGTTTCTATAAGTAACAGTTCCTTAGTTATTTGTGCCTGTTGTATTTCTGTCTATATGCTTATAGATAAAATAATTTTGGATTATATATTTAAACAGTAGAAAGATATTTTGATCTTGTATGAAAGAAAATTAAAGTAAAAATGCATATGATAGACTAGTTTCTAATACTGGGCAAGTTAAAATGGCACAAATAACTAATTGTGGAAATTCATTATCAAAATTTCTTTTCTGCCTTAAGTAAATCATGTAATTAAGTTTTATTCTCTTTATGAAGCAGAAAATACTTTTCTAAATACTGCTCCAAATGCTTGTTTAACTTGCTTATTCCTCAGTGTATAAATGAACGGGTTCAACAAAGGGGCAACTGAAGTGTTGAGCACAGCTATTCCTTTGCTCAAAGACACTCTTTCATTTGCTGAAGGCTTTATGTAGATAAATATGCAACTCCCATAAGTGAGGGAAACAACAATCATGTGAGAAGAACAAGTGGAAAAGGCCTTTTTCTTTTGCTGAGCTGAAGGGAATTTTGTAATTGTCTTGATAATGTGAGCATAAGAAAGGATGACTATTACTAACGTCACAATGAGTGTCATGAGAGCTAAGATGAAAGCCAACATTTCTAGTAAATTTGTGTCTGAGCAAGACAGTTGTAGGACAGGAGAAACATCACAAAGGAAATGGTCAATGACATTTGAAGCACAGAAATCCAAATCAAGGCCAATAATCAGTGGTGGGAAAATAACCAGGAATCCAGTTACCCAAGAACCCAGGACAAGCTGATGACAAACTTTACTGCTCATGATAGATGCATAGTGCAAGGGCTTGCAAATGGCAATATAACGGTCATAGGACATGGTAGCCAAGAGGAAAAACTCTGTGCCTCCCAAGAGTATGTAAAAGAATAATTGACAAATACAGCCATTATAGGAAATTGTCTTTTCCTGGGTTACAATGGTGATTAAAAATCTGGGAATGCATGTTGTTGTGAATAAAATTTCCAAGAAAGAGAAATTACGGAGGAAAAAATACATTGGTGTCTTGAGAAGGGGATCTAGCAGAGTGAGGGCAATGATAGATAAGTTCCCTAGCATACTCAGCAAGTAATTTAGTAAAAGAGACACAAAAATCACAATCTGTAACTGAGGATTGTCTGTCAGTCCAAGAAGGATAAACTCTATCTGTCTTGTACGGTTCTTCATTTCTCCTTGTGATATCATTCAAGTTCTAAAAATAAAAAGATATATAAATGGAAATCCACATAAGTATATGTATATCCAGTAAACAAAAACTAACAGGATCTGTATTCCTTAGCACAGCCCTTTCAAATATAACATCCATGGATATTAGAGATATGGCGGTGACTATATAACAAGAATTCTCCAGTATAAATTCAAAGGTAATAGAGAAGTCAACTCACCATTGAAAACTGATCTGAGCAACTTGTAAGAGCTTAGGTTTTTTACTCTTTCAATTTAAAGTTTGACTTAATTGTAACTAAGTATAAATCTGTTAAAATATTAAATATCTTTGCATTGGGAATAAAAATAATTTATTAAATATATTACTCTTTTTATTTAAGGGTAATTATATCAGAATAACAAATTGAAATCTATAGTTTAATTATTAACCTTTAACTTTCATGCTGAAGTATATGTCTTGTTACCTCTTATAACTTTTCTGTGAAGTATAGACAACATTCAAGAGGAATGCAACCAAGAAATTAAAGTTTAAATGCAAAATAAATAATAGATAAACATAAAACAATTGAGGAAGATTATTATATATTTACAAAAATAAAACTTGAATGTCAGCATTAGATATAGGTTATACAATATGACCTCTATTGAACGATAAAATACAATCATGCTATTTAAAGCTAAATAATTCTTTAAACACTTTAAAAATAATTTTACTTAGGTAATATAGTATAAAAACCTCAATAAAAATGCAATTAATGAAAAGGGTTGAATAGTATTTCAAGAGTAAAATTTCAAAGGACTTCTTATGAACTGTATGTTTTGTAAATGTCTAAAACTTTCATGTGCTTGACACATGTATAAATCTGATATCCTACAAAATTGATAGCAATTTAAAGTGAGACATCTTCACAGTAGATTTAATATATAGTTTGATTATATAATTAGTATGTCTTGACAACATTAGATTTTATCAAAGACAAAGATCAAATCTTGTGCTGTTAGCTCATATATTTTCATACTAGAAAGAAACAACTGTGAGTTTACTGACTGATACATCCAGCCATGGTTTCAGATAAAAATAATGTGTCTCAATTTAATAACATTGTGATTAAATTTTCATAATTAATTTCTAATATTACTAAATTATTTTCAAGTTCACTTGAGGATAACCAAAATTAGGGAAATTCACAATATTCTATGTAGACTTTTTGAAATTAAAATGTTTAGTTATATTGCAGGTCTTTTATTATGTTTTATTAATCAAAATCTTTTTCTGTTTTAGGAAATTTTATTATTGCATTGCTGAATACAGAAAATTTTCTTGTGTTTTAAATTTTTAAATATTGTTTCCAACTTTATGCACACCTCTCTAATTTATTCTAAAACTCATGGTAAGCTTTTCTTTGATTATTTTTGAAAACTACCAAGTAGTGAGGAAGCAATCTGTATCCTATCCAATCTTGAGGCCCATGGACCAGACCTATCAACAATGATGAGATCTGCAATACATTCCTAAAAAATAAATAGTAGGTTTCATGTCTTACTGGTAACCAACAGTTTTGTAACTGGACTTAAAACTTACTCAACAGGAAGGAAGTTACTGGAAACCTAGGCAATTACACAGAAAGAGTTGGGGTCATGGATCTTAGAGGAGAATCTACTACATCCACTTTACTAGACTTGCATGATTACTAACTGCATGCAAATGTTATCGTTATACCCACAGATAAGTGTAGCTTCCATCCATCATCAAAGAAACTTGTATTTGCCGTGGATTGAGACTATTACAGAAAACCACAAGTGGTCACATTAGAGTACAACTGACCTTTCAGTGCCCAGTCCCTGATGGATACATAGACAAGACAACCCTTCCCTTGAAGGGTAAGGCTTAAGGAATTTCCCAGAATAGGGACAAAATCATTGCAAGACTCGAAGACCAGGAAGCTTACTTGTGCTTTGTAGAAATTACAGGGAAACTACATCAAAAATAGAGTTTTAAAGAAAGATTTAATTCATTATCTCATTCCTTGATCTTGTCTTCATTTGGTACTTTTCTTTGTGCTAATATATACATCTTCTTTCTCAGCAAAACAATTTAGCATTTCTGTAATCTATTGTGGGTATCCCATTATTTTCAAACATAGGAAAAAGATATTTGCTTTTCAACAACTGAACCTGGGAATTAGAAATTATCAATAAGTTATATTTGCTCAAATATATTGATCACAATCAACATTTCCAACGGACTTTTCTTTCTGTTTTAATCATGTACTGAAAAATGTATATTTGATGCTCTTGGGAAAAGTGACTTCTAACTTTTCAAGTTTGAATGACTTTCTAACGTGACTAGATTTCCATTAATTAACTAACAGGAGGACTACAATTTTCTCCACAATTCTCCAGTGTGGCTTCAGGTTCAAAACCTAGAAATTCAAATATTAAGTACCTGAATCAGATGTCATAACTTTTATTTTATGAATATAACATTGGTGAGAAGTTGTGTTTTATACAATGAAAAAATTCAAAATTTCATGGTTCTGTCATTTATATTTTGAGTAAGTTTCATTGTGTATATACCTATTTTTAAAAATTTTAAATAGTATTGGAAATTTCATGCATTTATGCAATGTATATTGATCACATTCATTTACCACTGCCTCATTCTATGTCACCTTAGTGTCCTTCAACTTCTTCGGAGCTTGATGTTGTCTTTTTATTTTATTTTTTGTTATGAGTAAATTATTCTTAAATGTTTTAAAGAAAATTAATCTTATTATTTCACTTACCATTAATTCACCATGTTAACATCACGTTTTCCTGAGTATATGGACAATTATACTAAAAAGCAATTATACTCATTGAAACAAAATTTGATCTTGTGGACTGAAAAACTAAAACAATTTTCAGATTAAATAATAACACACAATAAAGATGTGTATTTTAAAAATCAAAGTGATATTTACTTTCAGTCACATCTCTGAGCAGCTCTCTTCATGCCTTAGATAACAAGAAATTCATTTAACCATTTTAAAATACTAGCGAAATCCTGAGATAAGACATGTATGCCCAGCTAATTTAATCTCATACTTTCATAAAAAATATTAAAGCTGAAATCAACTCCTGGAAATTAGCTTATACCAGATCTCCATTGTTTAAGCAGTAATATAGCCTCTCTAAGAAATCTAAGGAGACAGTATCCCTAAGGAAATGGAAGAATAATTTTAAAACATGCAAAGTAATTTTAAAACACCAATAGGCTTTACATATTAATTATTGAATTAAAGTGTTATTATCTGGAAATTGTGATGTACTAGGGAGCAGACTTATGAAGATGGCAAGTTCACTTCAGATTATTTATACAGTTAGGCCTTATCTTACAAGCAAATATTCTACTTAAGAAGCTGAGGCAGGAGGATAGTCACAACTATCAGTTAAAGTGATTACCAGACCAACAAGGACCATGATGTCATCTCCCACATGTTCGTTTTCATTTTTGCATGTATAATGATATAAAGTACTACATTAAAAATAATCACTTTGAGGACTAGGGAGTGGCCCAATGGGGACTAGGTAAGGGGCCTTGCTATGTAAGCATCAGAACATGAATTTGGATCCCCAAAATCACATAACAGCTGGATACAGTATGCCTGTTACCTAGGGATGCTGATCCTGGGATCCCACTTACTGGTCAACCAGCAAACACAAGCAGTTTCAGGTTCAATAACAAATTGTATCTTAAAATTTAGGTCAAGTCACCAAGGAAAGACATCCTGATGTTAGCCTCTGGCTTCTCTACATGCCTGTATGTGTGGATGCAGGCATACACTATCACCATTGCCCTCCATACACACTGAAATTGATAAAAAAAAAATACTTTCAAGACCATTGTAGAAACACTGTAGCAAGTGTGAAATAATATTGTATTCTCTAACAATTATTATTTTGGAGATAATGGCAAATTAATCCCTTTGGAGAAATAATTATTTTGAGGTTCTATGTTTGTATTCCCAGTATGTAAGTTTATCACTAAGGCAACAACATCTGAATACCTAGCAGAAAAATTACTCCTATTTGCATTCTCAAAAGCTATAGTGTTATATATCAGTGAGTTAAATGAAACTCTACACGAATTATTATTTTGAAATAAATATTGGAATAACTTTATTTATTTATTTATTTATTTATTTATTTATTTTTATCTATTTAGTGTGCATGGGGGGTCCACTGTAGGCCTGTAGGGCCAGAAGGCAACTCATAGTAATAAATTCTCTTTCAGAGTGTGGAACATTTATCTACCAAGCCATCTTTCCAGCCTTAAATTTGGAATAATTAGTTCAATGATCTATGGATACCTAAATGAAAACTTTATTCAGTATTATTAATTATTGTAGTGACTATCAGATACTAATCACTGCTTTAGTGCTTTTTTCCTTTTTGATTATTGTCCTACAGAAAAATTAACATAGTTATAAACATTTTTGGATTTTGAAAATATAGAGAAATTGTATATAGTCATGGAAGGATCTAGAAATTATGGAGAAAGGTTACAAGGAGATCTCTGATATAAAATATAGTTTGATCAGTCTTATTGCATGATTACAATACTGCAAGTAGACAAATTCATGATTGATGAATAAATACAGGCACATAGAAGATATTTAGTAATTATTAATAAAAAATGCTTGCTAAGAGAGACTAGGGAAATAGTTTTGAAGGTAAGGGCCATTGCTGTAAAGGATCCATAACCCTAAGTTTAAGTTCCCAGTAACCATGCAAAAGGCTGTGTGTCACCACATGTAGCTATAACCTCAGCCTGTGGGGGCATGGAGAGAGGATGCTGCAGGAAACTCGCTGAGCACTAGCCTGACTTTGATTAAGAGACCTTCTCTAAAGTTACAAGATAGAAAGTTATAGAGCAGAACACTGATCTCCTTGTGCATATACCACAGACACTCACAGATGCACAAGCAGTGATTTATCAAAAAAGTAAACGAATCTGAAAAATGATATCTTGTATT